TACTCTCACCTACTTACCCTACCAGACGGAAACTCTGACCGAGACGTTGGCGCGCGCGTTGCTGCGTACCCGTCGCGATAGGAATTTCATGCGGCGCAAAACATGCACCGATTGCGACACGCGTTCCCGCCGATGCGGCCAGGTGTGCGCCGCGATCGATCCATCGCGATGCACTCGCGACATTTTTCGCCCTCTGCACGTCGGATCTTGTAAAATGGTACAAATTGTCCCGCGCTATTGTTTATTATTATTGAAGCATGGTAGTAGTAGGTTGCTGTTTCTGGTTTGTTGATTATACCAGTTGGAAGATGGAAAACGGAAATGGTAATGATCGGTGATCGATATTATGGGTACTGATCGTTAATATGATGTTAATAATGGTCTTTGAATGTTAGGTATTGTAAAAAGGTAGAGATGGTTCTATTCTTTCCTTTATTGACATTGGAGCATGGTAGCAGGAGGTTGCTGTTTGGGATTTGTTGATGATAGCAGTTGGGAAATAGAAAAGGGAAATGGTAATTATTGGTACTGATCGTTAATATGATTTTAATAGTGTATTCTCCCACCAAGGATAACAGATGATTCAGGACTGACACTTTTAAGATTCCGATGTTTTAGAAGGTGAATAAAGTAAAGTGTTTATACTTTATGCCAGAGCATGAAGAATAACTAAATGAAATTTCATCTGGAGTGAACAGAAATAGTAGGAATTATAGGAAAATGACAAACATACTTGAATTTTTTATTTCATATTAGGGAGAAGTGGGGTTAAGCAAACAGCTACATATGCAAATGGTAGCTGACCTGGATTGTTCAATGTATAAAATGAAATCCCATTTCTAAACCACATGTACAAAATAAAATAAAATTCCAGCTACAATTAAGAAATTAAGAGTGAGGTTCAACCATTTAAAGGATCCAATAATTCCACGTGTCAGTGTTATCTATCTATCCATTAAAATCGTCGATAAAAATTTCATTTTCTAGCGTAGAATTTCCAGGAGCAGAAATTCCGAAGAAGCGCTGTGGAGTGCATCCAGGTCGAAGTTGCGCCTGTATTCGTGCACGCGTGAATCGCGGGCCCGATATCTCGGACAAGGGAAAATATTTACGGGAAAATTTCGCCGCGGGTGGCGCGGCTTCATGAATAATTTCGGTCCGCAGGAGACCCGTCAGCCGTAGGCTAGACGCCTCCGGCGCTCGGTTCTAATTACGGCAACTGCAGAGCTCGTCTGCGCCCACGGCGATCCCCCGGGTCAGTTTCCAACCCCCGTTTTCCTGCCCCAGCACAATTTCCACAGAGTCCACATCCCTTCCACATCCGTTCTGAAATGCTAGCAGCGGCAAGCACCCTTCCTCCCCCGCTCTCCTTCTTCGCTATCGGTGGTACGTCGACCGACCGCCGCCACACCGTCGCCACTGGTAACCAGTTTGAAAAGTTTCCACCATCTCCGGTGTTTTCCGATTTTCGAGCCGTAGCTATCGCGAAATTCCAGATGTTATTTCAAATGAACCGGATATCCCGCGGATATCCCAATGAAAAATGTGTACTCCCGTTCGTTACGTACTTTTTTCCCCTTTCTGCGTCGGTTCGATTTGACGATGCCCGATTTTATTCCCATTCGACGTATTTTCCAACACTCCTCTCGCGGAACGAGCTTGAAATGGGGTTGGTATTCATTATTAATGCGGGAAACGAAATTTTGGAGTTCTTCTCTTTTTTTGAGGATGGGTAAAAGTTCAAGAGTAACTGAACGTTGAAATATAGGATGATTTTATCGTGATAGTTTTGGGAGACTTATTAATTCCATGCATGGTTACTGCGTTTCTAATTTTAGGTACAGTAGAACCTCGTTTATACGAACAAAATTATGTTTAGCCTCGGATATATGAACTCGTAGCTAAGCCGAGTACTCTCTAGTCCTCTGTAACTGAGCCTAGTAACGTCTAGCCTCCTGTAGCTGAGCTTAGACCTCTACTAACTGGTATTTTTATTATTGGTAGCATAAGAGTCTCAATTAAAATTGGATTGATTGCGCAGATTACAAGGCTTTATGTGTTTATTTTAAACCATTTTCTACTAGGAACCAGACTTACGAAACTCCGCGAAGGACTTTTATCTTTTCATCCGATCGTAAGGAGATTATCATACCGGCTTTCGTGAAAAGGCAGATGGGTGCGTGTAATTTATTCCTCGTATTCGACGAGCGATGCGAGTGTCGGCACGTACTGTCGGAGGAATCGCGAATTACGATGTCCCCTCGGAAAATTGACGTTCAATATTTGTCATGCCGAGACGCAGTCAAATCCCATGGAGAAATTAAACTATCAAGTACTGGTCGGTGACATTTACTGTCTATAAACAATCCGTCCGAAGGATTTGCGTTTGCGCCAACCGTTTCGTTTCCAACCAGTTCCAAAGATATTTCAAAGACCGGTATTGAAGTTTTCGAAAGGTTTCATAAATTGATTTCAAGATATAATTATAGTTTCGCGTACTGGTTGGAAAGGAAACATCCCACGGGTCGATTCACGTCAAATCGATAGATTTCTGCTAATCGATGTCGGGGATCTTTTTGTAATTCAGCTGAGACGTTGTCTAGATGTAATAGGGTAGGGTTTAAGTCATCACTTTAATGTTTTTGAATTTTTTTTTGAATTTCTGAGATTTTGGACCATTCTTGGAAAGAAAAAGCTGCAATTCTGAATTAGATCTTTCTGGACGAAAGGAAGTAAATAGTCTCGAAAATATATGACAAGTTCTCTAACTTATCAAAATCAAACCACCATGGTTTACATGGCCTTTTTTAATGAAACATCGCTAAAAATTTCGAACACCGTTTCTCGAGCCACGTTCGAACACAACTTTCTAGAGCTGTTTATATCCCCCGTCGAAAGAAAACTAAAAAATTGTCAAGCCTCGCGAACGGACAGCGGAGCGGCCGTCGTCTCGAATTACTCGAACTCCATTAGCTCTCGAAAGCGGATTCCGCGCGGCATTATATGTCGCCGCGTGCAACGGGAGATGCATAATTGATCATAAGCATTGTTCGATGACGACGGAATGCAGTCTGGGATCGAGGCAACATCATTGTGTCTTTGGGTTTCTGTGAACTCGAGCCCCCTCCGTAGGCGGGATTAAATACTGCGAGTCGATTATGCTTCTTCCAACTGCGATGTCTCGAGGATAATCGCGTTACTTACGACACGCATTCTTCGTTCGGTTAGATTAACCACAGAAACAAAGGTCTGTGTTAAAAAATAAGCATATCGAAAATTAGCATAAAATTCAACGAATAATGGCCTAGCTTACACCGAACTGTTGGAAATCCAGTCCATTTCTGTAAAATGTTCTCCTACGATTCTTTGCCAAAACTCATTACTCCTTATTTTTTGCCATATTCTTTGATATTTCATATTTAAAATAAGCATCAGTTGTATTGGATTTAATTCCATTTAATTCTATTGCTGCATGATTAATTTAATTCTATTTTGGTACATTTTTCACAGTCTCATCCTTATAAATTTGAATTTCCTCTGAAGACATTTTCTTCTATTTGCTTGCTGCATCGTCAGAATTACAAATATAATCATACGTGATGATGCATGTTCAATATTAATATCCATTTAGTTATTTATTAATATACTGTTATTTATTGTACACGCCACAGCATTCAGTGTACCTTTTTCCTATTTAAAAGTCTAAACTAATGTGACTTAATACGATCGATGTAAACAAGAGACATAATCTAACGCTTAATACGGATCAGCTTGATAACCGTATCAAAAGTTTCTAAACTAAGCCATAATGTCGTTCTCCAAACCCAAAACGCCGCCGTTTCGCGTCATTATCGGAAAAATTTTTCTATCTCGACGGTTTTCCAAGCAGCTCGATTAGAAAGTATTTCGTTACCATTTCCATTGCTCCGATATCGATTTGTCACGCGATATTTCGACAGCGTTCTCGAGGGAAACAGCACGATCTCCACCATTTTTTTCTTTTTCCCCTCGCGTTTCGAGCCTCGTTCGCCAACAGACCTAAACGCTCGATCCGGAAGTCGTTTCACCGATCATGATCGTCGGATCACGTTGAAGGCAGGGAGTTTTCGACTCGTGAAAGCTGCACGTTGCATAAAAATTTCGCTAAAGACGCGTTTAGCCTCGTTAAACGAGTATTAAGCTGCCGTTAGACTAGGAGAGAGGCACGACTCGGCGTTATCTGCTAACTATGTCTAGCCACGATAAATTGTTCACTAGGCAGTTAATTGCCGCGCAATCGGCGCGAAAGTAAACCGACTGATTAGATAAATCGTGACCAAACCAACGCTCCCCTGGCTTCTCTAATTGCTTTCCTCCGCGAATCCTGTCGCTGTTTATCGATTCATCTTTTTTGTTCTCGGCTAGCTCGGTTATGATTTCAAAACCACAAGTTCAACCGGACAACACTGTTTCCTAACACACACTGTCTCAACGACACACAATTTTTTGCATGAAAAAAGTAATAACAGTAATCACTGAATTCTGTGGTTCGGAGCAAGACTGGTACATGGTGGTATATCCACAAACGTCAAATTTTAATTTCTAATCGGCTTCGAAAAGGAGGAGGTTACTCAATTCGAGAGGAGGTTACTCCTTCTTTTTTTTGGGGTATGTTCACCGATTATGCCGAGATGGGTTGACCAATCGGGATGAAAGCTCTTGGATCTCGTAGAGCATGTCTCCTAGTAGGTCTCGTACCTAAGACATTTTGCGGTTTGTCACTTTTTGAGTGTTTGTATTAAGAAACGTCAAATTTACTCCATCGCTACTATCATAATTGATTTACATTTCAGTGACGTATGCGGATACAATAAGGAATTTTTCTATCCTCGAAGAAGGCTTCATCAGTCCAAGGAGCTCTTTAATTGCTCCTAATTTCGCGCTAAAATTTGTCAAAATCTCGTGACCACGAATAATTCTTCTCCTTATCTCTGGTGAAGGAGAAAAGATGCCACACTCACCGTTTTTGACACGTGGGCTCCAGGTTGACGGTTGTTCTCGCGTCCACGGTTGGCAATCCACAATCCCTCTATTGTCAGCCAGGAACCAGAACACTACCTTCGAGCCACCGTGGAGCTTTCGCGGGAAGCTCGTGCTCGTGTGTCGCGCACAGATCCACGTGGTCACGGTTCACGTGTCTTCTTTCGAGGGGTGAAACGAGCGCGAGCCGCGCGCCACCGCAGCTTTAATGGGACTGAAGCGTCTTCCCTAGTGTCAGAGCATTCGCGCTACTCCTCCCCACTGAGCGCCAGTCGCGACTAAACCCCTCCCCCCCCTTTCGCTTTAGGCTACCTCCACGTCGTCCTTCCCCGCCACCCAATGCCGTTCTCCCGCTTCGACAGCTCGCGGTGTTTCGGTAAGCGCCCTGAGCTTGCAATCCTCTTGCGCCCAGCCTCGAGGTCGCCCCTCTGCTTGTGTGTCAATTGGCTTCAACCCCTCCTACGAATGCCCCGCGGTCAATTCGATTCACCTTTATCATTATTATTATTTCCAGCGATGCTTTCTTTTCCAAGGGCTCCTCTTCCGCAGCTAATTAGGCTCGCGACACCAACCCCGCGACGTCTCCACCACCAAGCAAGACTAGACTCGATGTCTTCGTTTTATTTATCGATTGTCTTAGCGAAGAAATTTATTTTCTTCATCTTTTCTTGAAAAGAGAAACTTAACACGTTGATCGCCAGACTGATTCACATGGAAAGGTCTGCAAAAATGTTGTCTAAAGTTTTGTCTCGAGACAATTAGAAAGTATAGAACTTAACATTTGTCGTATTACTTATTTTTGTATTCTCATCGAAATTTACGAATTCTGTCTAGATTTGTTTTTATTAATATTTACCTTTGGAAATTAATTGTTAAAGTTTCTTAATGAAAAGCTCTATCACCCACATATGGGTGACATGACGTGGTGTCAATTTCAATATCAGAAGTTATTAACCCTTTGAGGTGTATATCAGAAAATAAGGCCTCGAGTGCAAAGGGTACCTCCAAAGCATATCGTTTGTACTTATCTCGTACGTACCTTGCAACCATCCCTATTGGACTCCAATCTCGATCCTTTCGATTTTGTTTGTCCAACGAGCAGATAAACATCGAGTTGGAGAATGGAGCAACTTTGTCGAGATGCAAATGAAATTTAATCCTCGATACAACTCCATCGTTGGACCGCCCGAGGTGTAGCGCTCTCCCCGATTCGATCCCTTAATCCCGCGTCTAGCTTCTTTAATTTAGATTATCGCGTTCGTCGTCCTCTTCATCTTTCTCTGGCATGCACCGCCTATTCGCAGCGCCTCGCGGGCCTATGATAAGCGCCTCGAGCGTCTTTGAGTACCTCGGATACGCGAACCGCTAGATCTTCATCAGCGCACTCGTCGATCGGGTCCTTTTTGTGCAAGGGATGCCATTGGGAGTTCACCGAGACTAAATACTCGTTACTTCGTAACCGAGAGAACTGCACGAAGCCAGCTAAGTATGTAGTTCCATGTCATGGAAACTCGACATTTTCCTTACCACATACTTGTTGAAGACATAAAGATATATATAAACATAAATATAGCGACCCGAATCAGTAGGTTTTTTACTTCGAAAATAATTTGCTCGATAAACAATTTAGATAAACGGCTCTATCTGTACCTCCCGTTTATAAGGTTCACACGTAACGCTATAGTAATAACAATAATTTGCGAATCCTCCTTCGAGTTAACTAATGAGATATTTAGTATGCACGGTATGCCGGGGCTACGTACTCATCCGTTCATTTACCTTTTCAGTTCTCCCAGGGGAGTTAGAGTAATTGCACACTATATAAATTATCCTGCGCAAGGAGCAATCGGCGCGCTTCGTTACAATGTGGGAGCGATATTGTCGCCGTTGGGTGAGATTCACGTGGAAAGAACGAGGAAGAGGTGTTCGAAATCGAGGAAAAACCTGAATCTGGAACGACTGGATGCACTGACAGATAAATTGATCGACAATTCTTAATCTTCTTAAAAACAGAAAGAAAACGATAGGTATATTTAATTTAAAAAAGAGGTTAAGGAATAAAGGAGGTTTAAGGAATGATGAATCAAATTTACCTGGACCCCTTTGTAATTTACTGTTCGGTGTTGAAAACAAACCGAGCGCCTACGTAACGGGTGTCCCGATTACGGAGGTCCCCCACGGTGGACGATTCGTTTCGAAAAAGCAATTTGTCCGACGGAAAGAAAAACAGAGGAGAAATAATGCACACAGAAGGCTTTAATGGCGATTCTCGAGGCGGTCTCGGCGTGGCACCTGGAGCTTTTCCAAGCGCGTCCTGCACGGCGCAGTCTTCGTCCTCGTAAAGTTACAGTCGGTACTTCGCCGATACGATTGGCCATCGGCCATCGAGAATAATGGGGCAGTTGGCGAGGGCCGATATAAAGGGAACCAAGCCTCGGCGTGGCTTCGGTTTCTGTCGTATTTGAGCCGCTCCAGGCTAAAACGGCCACGGCCGACAACATCGTTCTAGAATGCCTCGGGCACTTCCAAACCCAACGGACGATGCTGCTCGCATACGTAAACCTTAACTTCGTCAGGGACAAAGTGACGCTCGTATATACGGTTCCGGTCCGTGTTGTCTACGAGGAGAGGAAGGGATTGCTTCGATCGTTTCGAGGCTCATTTGAAATGCCTCTTGATTTGGGCCTGTCTTTGTCATAGCGTTTTTTTGCGAACATCACTAATCATTCAGTCGAACGTCTTCGTAATGAAATTGATACGTGAAAAATACTCAAATTTATCTGGGAGGTGCAAATGTGGATTTACGAGTAGGTTCTCAAGAGTTGGATTATGCGTAGCTTCCCGAAGTAAATCGCCTGGGAGAACGTCGGGAATACTTCGTCAATGTATTCAACAAGGTTGCCAACAAATGTACGCAACACCTGAGATTTTCGAATGCGTAAGATCTATGATGAGACGCCCACAGGCTTGCATTCAGGTGAAAGGTGGTAATTTTAAGTAGCCGATTCGAAGGTAAACTGACACACAAGTGGTTTGAACGCTGGTGTGCCTATAACTCGGAAACAAAACGAGATGGGACCTTGAAGTATCCTTAAGACATACTCCATATTTAACCTTCTATTAGATATACCTATTCTACTCCTCCTTCTGAAAATACAAAAATTTTTGCTTACCTGTGCGTCGACAAATTAATCGATATTTGAACTAAATAGTATTAACACGTTGATCGTTACGTCGCGTCCCCCATATATATATGGATGACAAGGACTTTCATCAAAGAATTAAGTAAATTAATTCTAAAGGTGATGTCTTAAAGAAAATAAATCTGGATAGGATTGGTAAATTTTAAGGAAGTTGCAAAAATAATCACTACCACGAATTTTCGGTTACGTACTATCTAATTGTGTAGAATAAAATTTTAGCCTTGTAGAAATTTTCATATATTATTTTAGCAGTCAACGTGTTAAGTCTGTAGCATTAATTTTCAATTGATTCTGTACCTGGACTAGTTACCATATGATTGTAAAAAGTCAGGCCATCTCTATCATTTGCATCAGCGACAACTCATCAGCTGCTCCGTTTTTTAGACCACTCTGTCCTCGAATCCTTAAAAAATCCGTCACGCGTCGCGAGTATAATTAATCGGCGAGTATTTCGAATCGTTTAACGAACACAGCGATCGAGAAGGACGAAACCGACGAGGAAGGATACCGCTGCGGTGCAAGCAAAGAGCAGGACGAGGAAGAGGAGGTCGAAGAGAGAAAACTAAGAAACGATGAGCGAGAGCAGGAGGGGAGGCGTAATGGTGGTCACATGCCCCGCGGGGTTCTCGCTTCGTTCGCGGCGAAGAACAAGAAAAGTGAGGAAGACGGGGCTAGGGACAACGATTCAAGCGAAAGAAAGAAGAAAATAATGTGATGTTTTTGTATCATACGATATACAGACTGCCGGCATGGCGGACCCGGTATACGCCCGAGGCGTCCAGCAGGATGTAACGAGGAGAGTCCGAGTGTTGCCCGCGGGTCCACATATTTTAGGGAGAAGCCTCTTTCCCTCCTCCCCTTTGCCCTCTGGTTTGGCCCTACGTGTCTTTGAAACGGGTCGTGTCGTGCCCAAGGCGAGAGCCTCGGTTTGCCTGGCTCTATCCTTTTCCCCTTGCCCGTTACTCTTCGTTGCTTTTCTCTCCTTTCGTTTCGCTACGTCCTTTTACGGATAGAGGGCTTTATTGTACGAATCACAGTGGAAGTCATCCTGGGCAATTAAATCGAAGATGCGTCCCTAGGTGTGCACGCGCCGATCCCTTTTCGTCGAACCGTCGCTTCTAGACTCGATAACAGAGTGCGTTTCAACCGAAGTATGCTATAGTTTGTATAAAAAGGATAGGGGTTCAAGTCATAATTTTGTTGAATTCGAGGTTCTTTCAGGAATACTAGACTGTTCAGGAAGTCTAATGGAAACTGATTTGGGAGGTAGATACTTCTTTGTGAAGGCAATCTTGGCAAACATTAGAGGAAAGTAAAATTCAAGATGGTAGATGCGAGGGATTTTTATGGAATTGAGATATGACGTAGGCCATGTAGTATCGAGAGGGGTTTAAGTCATCATTTCGTTGGATTCGAAAGTATCTAAGAAATAGTATATAATGAACAGTCCTCTAAAGTTGGCAACTTTCGCAGAGCATATTTATCTTTTTGGTCGAAATTGGTGGAAACTGAAGTCGACGACTCGGGTATTCGGAAATGAAGGATATTCCTGAAATTGAAATCTGATGTAGTTCCTCTCAAACTGGGAGGGGTTTAAGTCATCATTTAGGTTATTTTGAAGTGCCTCGAAAAGTACGGTTACTCAAAAAGAACTTTTACTCTCTGTTACTCGCACAAACCTCGAATTTTTTATATCCACAATTAAGAACTGTCCCTTCCAGTCACTCTGTCCAAGGCCGGACGACGATAAAAAGTCAGGAATCGATGCTTGGTCATCTTCAGGACTCCTCGTTCACCGGATGGTGTCTCACGCTTGTGTGCATTGCCAATTTCGCATTCGCGGCTAATTGCAAGCTTGATTGCGCGTGTCATAATGTTTCCTTTGCGGCTGCTGTGTAACGATGATCACTACCTTCGCGGAGCCTCGGACGAAGCTGTTCGAACCTCTGACCCTCGCGCGGCCAAAGGTCACCCGGAATGTCTGGAAAACGGAATTGTCGTAGGAAAA